TAGCTGCAGTAGATCAATGAACAATAGCTGCAGTTGATCAATCAACAATAGCTGCAGTAGATCAATGAACAATAGCTGCAGTAGATCAATGAACAATAGCTGCAGTAAATCAATGAACAATAGCTGCATCAGATCAATGAACAATAGCTGCAGCAGATCAATGAACAATAGCTGCAGCAGATCAATGAACAATAGCTGCATCAGATCAATGAACAATAGCTGCAGCAGATCAATGAACAATAGCTGCAGCAGATCAATGAACAATAGCTGCAGTTGATCAATGAACAATAGCTGCAGCAGATCAATGAACAATAGCTGCAGTAGATCAATGAACAATAGCTGCAGTAGATCAATGAACAATAGCTGCAGTAGATCAATGAACAATAGCTGCAGTAGATCAATGAACAATAGCTGCAGTTGATCAATGAACAATAGCTGCATCAGATCAATGAACAATAGCTGCAGTTGATCAATGAACAATAGCTGCAGCAGATCAATGAACAATAGCTGCAGTTGATCAATGAACAATAGCTGCAGTTGATCAATGAACAATAGCTGCATCAGATCAATGAACAATAGCTGCAGCAGATCAATGAACAATAGCTGCAGTAGATCAATGAACAATAGCTGCAGTTGATCAATGAACAACAGCTGCAGTAGATCAATAAACATAGCTAAAGTAGATCAATGAACAATAGCTGCAGTAGATCAATGAAAAATAGCTGCATCAGATCAATGAACAATAGCTGCAGTAGATCAATGAACAAAAGCTGCAGTTGATCAATGAACAATAGCTGCAGTTGATCAATGAACAATAGCTGCAGTAGATTAATGAACAATAGCTGCAGTAGATCAATGAACAATAGCTGCAGTTGATCAATGAACAATAGCTGCACTAGATCTATGAACAATAGCTGCAGTAGATCAATGAACAATAGCTGCAGTAGATCAATGAACAATAGCTGCATCAGATCAATGAACAATAGCTGCATCAGATCAATGAACAATAGCTGCATCAGATCAATGAACAATAGCTGCATCAGATCAATGAACAATAGCTGCAGTAGATCAATGAACAATAGCTGCAGTAGATCAATGAACAATAGCTGCAGTAGATCAATGAACAATAGCTGCAGCAGATCAATGAACAATAGCTGCATCAGATCAATGAACAATAGCTGCATCAGATCAATGAACAATAGCTGCAGTAGATCAATGAACAATAGCTGCAGTAGATCAATGAACAATAGCTGCAGCAGATCAATGAACAATAGCTGCAGTTGATCAATGAACAATAGCTGCAGTAGATCAATGAACAATAGCTGCAGTTGATCAATGAACAATAGCTGCAGTAGATCAATGAACAATAGCTGCAGTTGATCAATGAACAATAGCTGCAGTTGATCAATGAACAATAGCTGCAGTTGATCAATGAACAATAGCTGCAGTTGATCAATGAACAATAGCTGCAGTTGATCAATGAACAATAGCTGCAGTTGATCAATGAACAATAGCTGCAGTAGATCAATGAACAATAGCTGCAGTAGATCAATGAACAATAGCTGCAGTTGATCAATGAACAATAGCTGCAGTAGATCAATGAACAATAGCTGCAGTAGATCAATGAACAATAGCTGCAGTTGATCAATGAACAATAGCTGCAGTTGATCAATGAACAATAGCTGCAGTAGATCAATGAACAATAGCTGCAGTAGATCAATGAACAATAGCTGCAGTAGATCAATGAACAATAGCTGCAGTAGATCAATGAACAATAGCTGCAGTAGATCAATGAACAATAGCTGCAGTAGATCAATGAACAATAGCTGCAGTTGATCAATGAACAATAGCTGCAGCAGATCAATGAACAATAGCTGCAGCAGATCAATGAACAATAGCTGCAGTTGATCAATGAACAATAGCTGCAGCACATCAATGAACAATAGCTGCAGTAGATCAATGAACAATAGCTGCAGTTGATCAATGAACAACAGCTGCAGTTGATCAATGAACAATAGCTGCAGCAGATCAATGAACAATAGCTGCAGTAGATCAATGAACAATAGCTGCAGTTGATCAATGAACAATAGCTGCAGCAGATCAATGAACAATAGCTGCAGTAGATCAATGAACAATAGCTGCAGTTGATCAATGAACAATAGCTGCAGTAGATCAATGAACAATAGCTGCAGTTGATCAATGAACAATAGCTGCAGTAGATCAATGAACAATAGCTGCAGTTGATCAATGAACAATAGCTAGAGTAGAAAAATGAACTACAGCTAGAGCAAAACAAGCCCTAAATATGTTGGCTATTCTATTTTTCTAGGTAATTCTATTTTCGGTGTTTAGCCAGGGCTAGTGAACAGCCAATGCTCATACCACTGTTTTCATCAACGCAAATCATCTGCTGCTGAATCAAACCCAGGATTATGAAACGTGTGAATGACCTCTCAGCCACAGACTTCATACAGAGAAAAAAGCAACCGACAATAAACAGATTAGAGGTAAGTACTATGCTCTCAACTGGTGCTTTAGGTGCATCTGATGGCTTGTGCCAGACTTTCAACACCAGATTCTGCCAGAAATATAGATTCACAATGATGCAACAATATATGTACTGATAGTCAGGACTTCCCTGTACAGTAAAAGTATACAGGAAATGACAGCAGCACAGTAGCAATGGCTTTAGTTACAAGAGTGTCAGCCAAAAAAAGACTTGCATGTCTGCTTGGGAGATGTCATTGTGCTAGGGCACTACAGACTTACATGGTTGCCTGAGAAATGTCATTGTGCTGGGGCACAGAGACTTGTATTTTTGTTTGGGAAATATCATTGTACTGGGGCACTAGTGACATATATGTCTGTTAAGCCACTAGAGACTTGCATGTTTGCTTTTGAGATGTCATTGTGCTGGGGCACTAAAGACTTCCATGTTTGTTTGGGAGATGTCATTCTGCTGAGGCACTAGAGACATACATGTTTGCTTGGTAGATTTTATTCTGCTGGCGCACTCGAGACATGCATGTTTTGCTTGGGAGATGTAATTGTGCTGGGGCATCAGAGACATGCACGTTTGCTTGGGAGATGACATTGTGCTGGGGCATAGAAACTTGCATGTTTGCTTGGGAGATGTCATTGTGCTAGGGAACTAGAAACTTGCATGTTTGCTTGGGAGATATTGTGCTAGGGAACTAGAAACTTGCATGTTTGCTTGGGAGATGTCAGTGTGCTGGGGAACTAGAAACTTGCATGTCTGCTTGGGAGATGTCAGTGTGCTGGGGCACTAGAGACTTCCATGTTTGCTTGGGAAATGTCAGTGTGCTGGGGCACTAGAGACTTGCATGTTTGCTTGGGAGCTGTCAGTGTGCTGGGGCATAGAAACTTGCATGTTTGCTTGGGAGCTGTCAGTGTGCTGGGGCACTAGAGACATGCCTGTTTGCTTGGGAGCTGTCAGTGTGCTGGGGCACTAGAGACTTGAATGTCTGCTTGGGAGATGTCAGTGTGCTTGGGCACTATAAACTTGCATGTTTGCTTGGGAGCTGTCAGTGTGCTGGGGCACTAGAGACATGCATGTTTGCTTGGGAGATGTCAGTGTGCTGGGGCACTAGAGACTTGCATGTTTGCTTGGGAGCTGTCAGTGTGCTGGGGCACTAGAGACATGCATGTCTGGTTGAGAGATGTCAGTGTGCTGGGGCACTAGAAACTTGCATGTTTGCTTGGGAGCTGTCAGTGTGCTGGGGCACTAGAGACATGCCTGTTTGCTTGGGAGCTGTCAGTGTGCTGGGGCACTAGAGACTTGAATGTCTGCTTGGGAGATGTCAGTGTGCTTGGGCACTATAAACTTGCATGTTTGCTTGGGAGCTGTCAGTGTGCTGGGGCACTAGAGACATGCATGTTTGCTTGGGAGCTGTCAGTGTGCTGGGGCACTAGAGACATGCCTGTTTGCTTGGGAGCTGTCAGTGTGCTGGGGCACTAGAGACTTGAATGTCTGCTTGGGAGATGTCAGTGTGCTTGGGCACTATAAACTTGCATGTTTGCTTGGGAGCTGTCAGTGTGCTGGGGCACTAGAGACATGCATGTTTGCTTGGGAGATGTCAGTGTGCTGGGGCACTAGAGACTTGCATGTTTGCTTGGGAGCTGTCAGTGTGCTGGGGCACTAGAGACATGCATGTCTGCTTGAGAGATGTCAGTGTGCTGGGGCACTAGAAACTTGCATGTTTGCTTGGGAGCTGTCAGTGTGCTGGGGCACTAGAGACATGCCTGTTTGCTTGGGAGCTGTCAGTGTGCTGGGGCACTAGAGACTTGAATGTCTGCTTGGGAGATGTCAGTGTGCTTGGGCACTATAAACTTGCATGTTTGCTTGGGAGCTGTCAGTGTGCTGGGGCACTAGAGACATGCATGTTTGCTTGGGAGATGTCAGTGTGCTGGGGCACTAGAGACTTGCATGTCTGCTTGGGAGATGTCAGTGTGCTGGGGCACTAGAGACTTGCATGTCTGCTTGGGAGATGTCAGTGTGCTGGGGCACTAGAGACTTGCATGTCTGCTTGGGAGATGTCAGTGTGCTGGGGCACTAGAGACTTGCATGTCTGCTTGGGAGATGTCAGTGTGCTGGGGCACTAGAGACTTGCATGTCTGCTTGGGAAAGTGTCAATGAGCTTGGGCACTATAAATCTTCACATGAATATTGGTTCCTATCTATCCACTGCTTACTGTTATAATATGTAAGTTGAAAGGCCCAATTAATCCACTGCTAACTGTCTTCTTGCTTCAGCATGGGTTAACAGATCAACTAGCTGATCTGCCAAACACTCAGAGTATCATGCAACCAACCAACAGCATCCTGATACAATGATAACATCCATATCCTTCCTGTTCTGCTGCTGCCAATAATCACTCAATGATGCCTAGGCCCTCCATGAATTCACACCAAGCTTTCCTATCATCTGCCATCTCCTGCAGATCCTTCTATGTCATCCCCATATCTACCATCTCCCACCATGTCCTCCCCATATCTACCATCTCCCACCATGTCCTCCCCAGATCTACCATCCCCCACCATGTCCTCCCCATATCTACCATCTCCCACCATGTCCTCCCCATATCTACCATCCCCCACCATGTCCTCCCCATATCTACCATTTCCCACCATGTCCTCCCCATATCTACCATCCCCCACCATGTCCTCCCCATATCTACCATTTCCCACCATGTCCTCCCCATATCTACCATCTCCCACCATGTCCTCCCCATATCTACCATCCCCCTCCATGTCATCCCCATATCTACCATCTCCCTCTATGTCATCCCCATATCTACCATCTCCCTCTATGTCATCCCCATATCTACCATCTCCCATCATGTCCTCCACATATCTATCATCTCCCTACATGTCATCCCCATATCTATCATCTCCCTACATGTCATCCCCATATCTACCATCTCCCTCTATGTCATCCCCATTTCTACCATCTCCCTCCGTGCCCTCTCATATCTACCATCCTCCTCTATGTCATCCCCATATGTACCATCTCCCTTGGGATTAAACAAAGCATATACAGACAGACCAGATCTCTTCCAGAGACTGTATGTATGCGTCAATCTCTCCCAAATAAATAACCTGGATTCAGCAAAGATGGCACGCCGACGACTCACCTTATTCTCCTTGTAGATGTACTCAGTGCTGAGTCTGGTCTCTACCACGTAGTCCCACACAGGGTTGACAGAGTTGGGGAATATGCTGCTACAGATTGGCTTGCTCCTCTCTATGCTTTGGAAGGACACGTAGGTTGTAGGGTTGATCTCTCCAGACCTGAAACATAGAACGTAATTTGTAGGGCTGATCTCTCCAGACCTGAAACATGGAACATAAGTTGTAGGGCTGATCTCTCCAGACCTGAAACATGGAACATAAGTTGTAGGGTTGATCTCTCTGGACCTGAAACATGGAACATAAGTTGTAGGGCTGACCTCTCTGGACTTGAAACATGGAACATAATTTGTAGGGCTGATCTATCTTGACCCGAAACATGGAACATAAGTTGTAGGACTGATCTCTCCAGACCTGAAACATGGAACATAAGTTGTAGGGTTGATCTCTCTAGACCTGAAATATGGAACATAAGTTGTAGAGCTGATCTCTCTGGACCTGAAACATGGAACATAATTTGTAGGACTGATCTCTCCGGACCTGAAACATGGAACATAAGTTGTAGGGTTGATCTCTCTGGACCCGAAACATGGAACATTAGTTGTAGGACTGATCTCTCCAGACCTAAAACATGGAACATAAGTTGTAGGGCTGATCTCTCCGGACCTGAAACATGGAACATAAGTTGTAGTGCTGATCTCTCCAGACCTGAAACATGGAACATAAGTTGTAGGGTTGACCTCTTCAGACCTGAAACATGGAACATAAGTTTTAGGGCTGATTTCTTCAGATCTCAAACATGGAACACATGTTCCACGTGGTGTGAAAGTTACAACTTGGTGATGGGAAAGTTACATACAACATGTTGGTGTTAAAGTTAAAACATGTTGGTGTGAAAGTTACATACAACATGTGGGTGTGAAAGTTAAAACATAAAGGTGTGAAAGTTACAACATGTCGGTGTAAAAGTTACATGTCACAGGATAAAGGTCTACACTGATCAGGATATTGAAGAATCTCATCATAGTGCAGTACATTCTCAGTCTGATAACGATCCAAGGATCACTGTGTCTCTCCACCTTGCACTTGTGCCAGTTCCTGTATACACAGAGGACAAGGAGAATTCTGCAACACATGCCTCGTGGAGATGGTATTTCAGTGTCAGTCTGGGAGATGGTATTTCAGTGTCAGTCTGGGAGATGGTATTTCAGTGTCAGTCTGGGAGATGGTACTTCAGTGTCTGTCTGGGAGATGGTATTTCAGTGTCAGTCTGGGAGATGGTATTTCAGTGTCAGTCTGGGAGATGGTATTTCAGTGTCAGTCTGGGAGATGGTATTTCAGTGTCAGTCTGGGAGATGGTATTTCAGTGTCAGTCTGGGAGATGGTATTTCAGTGTCAGTCTGGGAGATGGTATTTCAGTGTCAGTCTGGGAGATGGTATTTCAGTGTCAGTCTGGGAGATGGTATTTCAGTGTCAGTCTGGGAGATGGTATTTCAGTGTCAGTCTGGGAGATGGTATTTCAGTGTCTGTCTGGGAGATGGTATTTCAGTGTCAGTCTGGGAGATGGTACTTCAGTGTCTGTCTGGGAGATGGTATTTCAGTGTCAGTCTGGGAGATGGTATTTCAGTGTCTGTCTGGGAGATGGTATTTCAGTGTCAGTCTGGGAGATGGTACTTCAGTGTCAGTCTGGGAGATGGTACTTCAGTGTCTGTCTGGAAGTAGAGTCTCAACATCAGCTTCACTCTGGGAGATGGTACTTCAGTGTCAGTCTGGGAGTCTCAACACCAGTTTCACTCTGAGTGACGGTACTTCAGTGTCAGTCTGGGAGTCTCAACACCAGTTTCACTCTGAGTGACGGTACTTCAGTGTCAGTCTGGGAGATGGTATTTCAGTGTCAGTCTGGGAGATGGTACTTCAGTGTCAGTCTGGGAGATGGTACTTCAGTGTCAGTCTGGGAGTCTCAACACCAGTTTCACTCTGAGTGACGGTACTTCAGTGTCAGTCTGGGAGATGGTATTTCAGTGTCAGTCTGGGAGATGGTACTTCAGTGTCTGTCTGGGAGATGGTATTTCAGTGTCAGTCTGGGAGATGGTATTTCAGTGTCAGTCTGGGAGATGGTATTTCAGTGTCAGTCTGGGAGATGGTATTTTAGTGTCAGTCTGGGAGATGGTATTTCAGTGTCAGTCTGGGAGATGGTATTTCAGTGTCAGTCTGGGAGATGGTATTTCAGTGTCAGTCTGGGAGATGGTATTTCAGTGTCAGTCTGGGAGATGGTATTTCAGTGTCAGTCTGGGAGATGGTATTTCAGTGTCAGTCTGGGAGATGGTATTTCAGTGTCTGTCTGGGAGATGGTATTTCAGTGTCAGTCTGGGAGATGGTACTTCAGTGTCTGTCTGGGAGATGGTATTTCAGTGTCAGTCTGGGAGATGGTATTTCAGTGTCTGTCTGGGAGATGGTATTTCAGTGTCAGTCTGGGAGATGGTACTTCAGTGTCAGTCTGGGAGATGGTACTTCAGTGTCTGTCTGGAAGTAGAGTCTCAACATCAGCTTCACTCTGGGAGATGGTACTTCAGTGTCAGTCTGGGAGTCTCAACACCAGTTTCACTCTGAGTGACGGTACTTCAGTGTCAGTCTGGGAGTCTCAACACCAGTTTCACTCTGAGTGACGGTACTTCAGTGTCAGTCTGGGAGATGGTATTTCAGTGTCAGTCTGGGAGATGGTACTTCAGTGTCAGTCTGGGAGATGGTACTTCAGTGTCAGTCTGGGAGTCTCAACACCAGTTTCACTCTGAGTGACGGTACTTCAGTGTCAGTCTGGGAGATGGTATTTCAGTGTCAGTCTGGGAGATGGTACTTCAGTGTCAGTCTGGGAGATGGTATTTCAGTGTCAGTCTGGGAGATGGTACTTCAGTGTCAGTCTGGGAGATGGTACTTCAGTGTCAGTCTGGGAGATGGTACTTCAGTGTCAGTCTGGAAGTAAAGTCTCAACACCAGCTTCACTCTGAGTGACGGTACTTCAGTGTCAGTCTGGGATATGGTACTTCAGTGTCAGTCTGGGAGATGGTATTTCAGTGTCAGTCTGGGAGATGGTACTTCAGTGTCAGTCTGGGAGATGGTACTTCAGTGTCAGTCTGGGAGTCTCAACACCAGTTTCACTCTGAGTGATGGTACTACAGTGTCAGTCTGGAAGATGGTACTTCAGTGTCAGTCTGGGAGATGGTACTTCAGTGTCAGTCTGGAAGTAAAGTCTCAACACCAGCTTCACTCTGAGTGACGGTACTTCAGTGTCAGTCTGGGATATGGTACTTCAGTGTCAGTCTGGGAGATGGTATTTCAGTGTCAGTCTGGGAGATGGTACTTCAGTGTCAGTCTGGGAGATGGTACTTCAGTGTCAGTCTGGGAGTCTCAACACCAGTTTCACTCTGAGTGATGGTACTACAGTGTCAGTCTGGGAGATGGTACTTCAGAGACAGCCTGGAAGTAAAGTCTCACCACCAGCTTCACTCGTGGAGTTTGAAATCCATGATAAACCTGGGATTTGTTTAGAGATGGCAGCTCTATTGACCTGTCATCATTCACAAACTTTGAACAGTGGGATTGAGCAGGAACAATCAATGATAATCACCTGTTTCTCTCAGTGATCAGTGGCAGATGCATAGCTCTCTCACCAGCAAGGACAACGGTGAAGCTAGAGTCAGGGTCCTTTCCCTCTTATGGCTGCTTCCTGGGTGACTTGTTGATGCTGAATTCTCTGGATGACCGGTGAAGGGAGTAACTAGAGGATTGGTCAGTCTCTGAGCCCGACACCGAAACTTCGGATTCGTTGATGGCTTTTTCATTTTCTGATGTCTAAAATAGAAAGAAAACAACTGTTCAAGGTCATGTCAACACTGTCTTTGCTTTCTGTTTTCTCATATCCTGAAGCATATAAGTACACTGTACAGCTGACAGGTATGAAGTCAAACAAGGAAGCGTACTAACACCAGATCTCTCTCTCTCTCTCTCTCTCTCTCTCTCTCTCTCTCTCTCTCTCTCTCTCTCTCTCTCTCTCTCTCTCTCTCTCTCTCTCTCTATGGGTAACATGAAATGAGGAAGGAAGGAAAGCCAGTCTATTGTGTAGATTTACTGACAGCTGAAAACACAGGAGATCTGCAACAACAACTGCACACTGTAGTAATACAGAGTACAAATAAAGAACATTCCTTTAAATAAAATAGCAGAAACATTCATGATATGAAAGAAATAGATAACCCCAATATATAACAGAAAGAAAAATGCTTAACACTTTGCTGACCAGCAGTTCGGGGCCTAATGTCTCCCATTACCAATGGTGTTTGGATAAGACTGGATTCCAAATAAAATTCATAAAAAATTCAAAAAAGAGCGAAATGTTTTGAAACCTTCAGAGCATTATCACTGATGGTTGCTTCGAATGAAAAAAGATATTTTATACAAACATGTCACATGATCATGGTGGCCATCTTGAATTTATTTGGCTATTTATAGACATTTCAGGAGATGTTCTAAAATCATCTTTTTCCGGTTCTTAGTGACTTTGTTCAATATCAGTGCAATAAAATGTCTGAGGACATGTTGATGATGAATAAAATTAGCTAAATAGGAGCAAATTTTTAACCAAATATTTCAACATGAAAAGCAAATAAACATGTGAATAAAGAGAAATTTTGTTTTCCATTTATTGTGTTTATTTGTCATGTTACAATGAGCATTTGTAAATGCTTGATTATAAAAGCTCCTCTAGTTGAAGTCTGAGCTACTTCCTTCATTAACTGGAGTTGAAGCTGTAGCATTAGACCTCTATCTTTGTCAGGAATGTTGATAATCCTCAACTGTATGGTATAGCTTGAACGAGGTATTAAGCATACAAGTGTATTGCAATCTGGGCAGTATATGCAAGTCTAGCTTGTTTCACCTGCAGCCTGACACACTTTACAGTCTGGTTTATAGCTTGGCTTTCATCCTCTGTTTTAAATGGCGCTCAATAAGTTGTTTTGCTGTGGTGTGTGATCTAGAAGGTGTTACACTGTGCCCAAGTACAGCAGATCTAATAACAGTAAGATTGACATCCTGCCTAAACCTCCTTGCTGTGACCTTATACACAAGAGTTGGCAGTGTTGTAACACATTAAAAGACATCAAACTGACATCAAGAGAAACACCCCCCCCCCCCCACACCACCACCAACATAAGACAACTTCCTGTGAACTTGATAGTTACTAGGAAAAAAGTTATGCAGCAGCACATTTAGTTAACATTTTAACAAGAAATAAAACTGAAAACAAAAAGGGGGAGGGGGAGGTAGACAGGTAACGAGAGAGTAAAACGAAAGATAGAAAGAGAAGAAGATGAAGATCAGAGGAGATGGAGAGAAACAATGCAGGAGAGGGGAAGGAGGGAGCGAGAGGTAAAAGAGTGAAAGAGGGAAGGAGAGAGAGTGGGTGGGGTAGGGGGAGTGAACAGAAGAGGGAAACTGGGGGAATTACAATGTTGATCGCCAAACACACCATAAAGTTAAACTGGGCCAAAAACAGAACTGGGACATCCAGCTGACGTAACTTTGCTTAGCCCCACCATCTCCTAATGTAATCCTTGTTTCTAGAAACCACGGCATTTATGCTATTAATACTGCGAGACCCGCTAGAAACAAGGGCACAAAAGTCTGCGTGTATCCATTGGCTGCAACACAGCCAGCCTTTCCCTAGCCTTTAACAAGCCATTTCAGCTGAAAATGACCAACAATCAACTGCCCTCTTACCTGAAACGACTGCAAACAATAGTAGCCAAAAATAGCCAAAAAAGCACCCCAAAAAAAGCCTAACTGCCGTAAATCACAATACTTCCGTTGATCTCATTGCGGCCGTCAAACTTCCAGTCTTTTCAATGTCGGTATGTCTTTTCCAATGTAAAAAAAAAAGGCTCAAGGTCGAAGCCACAATTCCAGTGTTAATTTCAAGTTTTCTGGTTGGCTACGAACCCTGAATACAGCTAACTGACTCAAGGACCCTTGCCATGACAGTGTCCTAATCTGGCAGGGACAAGACTCATTTCTCATCCAGCTTAAGCAGCAAGCAGACAAGTGGTTTCTGAGACACATAGATATTCAAATGTGGATAGAGGCCTATTTTATGACACTGAGTTCTAAGCTTGTCATATACAGACTGATACCTTATTCTCTGCTGCCTGCGCCTCATGTTCACCAGTGATTCTAAATCTACGTAACAGCTGCCAATCAACCTGTCTCGCTTGCGAGGCTTCTTCTCACTGTCTATACGTGTGAAGGTCACCCAGACTTGAACCTCCAGCCTCTCCTCTCGTAGGTACCTGGGAATGTCAAACACAGGTCCACCTGGTAACAACATCAATGGCACAGAACAAACATTTGATTCATCGATGCATTAACATTATCGATCGCCCTGAAAGTATTTACCAGCCCAGTGCATTACCAACCATTCATTACCAGCCTAGCCAAAAAACCACCCAATGGCTTTCTAACCAATCAAAGGCCTGCCTAGCAAAAAACCATTGGCTCCCCAAAAAATCATTTACCAGCTTAAGTGGAAAAACACCCAGCAGCTCAAAAACCAGTCACTTATTAACCAGGTGGCTTAGCAATCAGTCACTTATTAACCAGGTGGCTTAGCAATCAGTCACTTATTAACCAGGTGGCTTAGCAATCAGTCAGTTATGAACCAGGTGGTTCAGCAACCAATCTATTACTAACCATGTTGTTCAGCAACCAATCAATTACTAACCAAGTGGTTCAGCAACTAATCAATTACTAATTAGGTTATTCAGCAACCAATCAATTACTAAGGAGGTAATTCAGCAACCAGTTAATTACTAACTAAGTGGTTCAGCAACAAATCAAATAATCAGGTAATTCAGCAGCAATCAATCCAACCAGGTAATTCAGCAACTGGTCAATTACCAACCAGGTGATTCAGCAACTGGTCAATTACTAACCAAGTGGTTCAGCAGCCCAGTACAATAATAACCAGTCAAGCACGCACGCACGCACGCACGCATGCGCGCACGCACACGCACACGCACGCACACACACACACACACACACGCACGCACGCACGCACGCACACACACACACACACACAAAGCCAACCATTGCAATGGAGCTGTGTGGGGCAACAGAAAGTTATGCTTGTGTTCCAGAGAACAAACCAGGCTGCTGACACAAGTCTGCAGCTTCCTGCACTTGGAAACGACAGCACCTGTTGAGGGATTGTCAATAAGAATTCATTTTAGCCATGGATTTGGTGTTGATTAAAGCTTTGTGTCGATCAAAAATATTTACTGATTAAAGATTTGTGTTCATCAAGGATTTTGTGTTGATCAAAGATTTGTGATAATCAAAGATATGTACAGATCAAAGATTCAGTACTGATAAAAGATATGTGTTTAACAAAGATTTTGATTGATCAAAGATTTGTGCTGATCAAAAATTTGTGTTCATTAAAAATTTGGTATTGATCAAAAATTGGGTATTGCTGAAAGATTACATTGATCAAAGAATTTGTGTTGATCAAAGATTTTGCACTGATCAAAGATCTGTGTTGATCACAGATTCGTTACTGATCAAAGATTTGGTATTGATCAAAGATTTGGTATTGATCAAAGATTTGGTACTGATCAAAGATTTGGTACTGATCAAAGATTTAGTGTTGATCAAAGATTTAGGTGGACCAGATTGAGAGAGGTAAACCAGGTTAGCGTGCTGTATCCTGATTCATTTGACTTCAAACAGTTTCTATATATCAAACAAAACTGTCTGCATCAAGACAGGATGTACACCACTGAGGTAATACTACAGTTATATAGTTTTGAAAAATGGAAGAAAATACAGTGGAACCTCGCTTAACAAGCATAATTCGTTCCAGAAGCGAAACAATTTTTCTCATAAAAATTAATGTAAAATACGATAATGTGTGTCCATGTCGAAAAAAATACTCAGGAAATGCTATGTATAACGTTTATTCGAAGAAAATTATATAGATATGTAAGGATAGGGAAACATCTTTATCTTTTCTTCAAAGGCGGAAAGAACCCACCTGGAATGTGAATTCGATTTGCAGAAAAAGAAAAAAAGTCTACATATTTATGATACCTAGCTAATTATTTTTTTACTAGAAAGATGTCCAGAGACATTTGTTTTTGCTGATGCTTAAAAATTTAGCGAAAATGCCACACAACATTATCATTAAATAAATTTGCAGAGCGCATAGCCACTTCCTTATTAGGGTGATGCTTCTCAATGTAAGATGCAATAGTTTCCCATGCTTTCAGCATTTCTATTATTTCGCCAGAAGATTGTTGCTTTTCTGTTACCTTCTCCTCCTCCCCTCTGACAAACTTTCCTTCAAAACTTCTTGCTGTGAAACACAATGCAACTCCATAAGCTCTTCGGTGGTTAGCTCTTGGCTGTGCTCCTCCACAAGCTCTTCGATATCACTGTTATCCACCTACAATCCCATGATAGTGGCCAAAGACACAATCTCGTTGACTACAGGTGCCACAGGTACTGTCTCGAACCCCTCAAAGTCACAAATCGACAACACTTTCCGGCTCAAAGCTTCCTCCAAGAAGAAGTTAGGGTTCTCTTGGTAACCCCTTCCCCCGCCTTGTCGATCATCTTGAGGCAGGCAACGATGTAGAGGTGATTTTTCCAAAACTCTCTGAGAGTGAGGTTGGTCCCTTTAGTCACCTGAAAACAATGCTCGAAGATTGCTTTAGTGTAGAGCTTCTTGAAGTTAGAAATAACTCGCTGGTCCATGGGCTGGAGTAACGGAGTGGTGTTGGGAGGCAGAAACTGGATCTTGATTAACTTAAATTCTTGTGGGAGGCCATCTTGTAGGCCTGGAGGATTCATGTGCATATAACACAAGTTTGAGAAAATGTGTGATCACAAGCAACACTACGATGCTACTGGAACGACAGACTGATGTAACAATCCGGGACTTCCCCTCTCCTCGCCACTCGTTATGCGAAACGTTGCTCGTTAAGCAAGCCATTCTTTTAAAGTTTGTTTTGCTCGTTTTGCGAATTACTCGTTATGAGAGGTGCTCGTTAAGCGAGGTTCTACTGTACTTGAACAAATTTAGTTTTCAACTGACCTTTGTCATAAAACTTGTAGCGCACATAACACCTGGTGAGGGGATCCACGTCTGTCTGCCCAGTGAGGAGAGCACTAGACAGCGGAAACGAGGCCTGGTCCATGGCAACTGTGATACCATGTACACTGTGCTGGCTATCTGCGGGGACCAACAATTAAAGAGGTTAACATAATTCTGCAACACAGTAGTTCAGCTCTCTAGCAAACCAAAGGTTCAATGAAAACCTAACAGAAGATATAAACATAAACTGTTTAATGCAGTATGTTCATGTGAAATACCTTCACACTGCAGCTGACACATGAGCGTATCATGAGAAATCTTTGAGTAGAAATATTGTTACATCTTTGATCAAATGTTGGGAACTCTCTCTTTTTCTGACAATATTAATGTATCTCTCTCTCTCTCTCTCTCTCTCTCTCTCTCTCTCTCTCTCTCTCTCTCTCGTGTGTGCATGTGTGTGTGTTTGTATGTGTGTCTGTCTGTCTGTGTGTGTGTGTCAATATAAGCCAGTCTCCTGTCACAGATGTGGTGTTAATGTTGATAATATATCAACTAAATCACTCAACACATATCAACTAAATCACTCAACACATATCAACTAAATCACTCAACACATATCAACTAAATCACTCAACATGTATCAACTAAATCACTCAACATGTATCAACTAAATAACTCAACACATATCAACTAAATCCCTCAACACATATCAACTAAATCACTCAACACATATCAACTAAATCACTCAACACATATCAACTAAATCGCTCAACATATATCAACTAAATCACTCAACACATATCAACTAAATCACTCAACATGTATCAATTAAATCACTCAACAGGTATCAACTAAATCACTCAACATGTATCAACTAAATCACTCAACATGTATCAACTAAATCACTCAAAATGTCTCAATTAAATCAATCAACATGTATCAACTAAATTAGTCAACATATAACAACTAAATCAATCAACATGCATTAATGGTACCTTCATCTTGCCAATCCTCCTGCTCCACATCCACGTCTATGGGTGACCAGCCAACGCTGTGGCCAACACTGATCACACGCTCTCTGTCATCCTGGTGGGCAAACTTGACCGACAGCTCCAGCCCACCAACTACCTGTTATCATTTACAAGTGTCAGCAGATGAAAAATTGAGAAGATGATGATAATGCATATGTTTCTAACATTTTATACAATAAACAGCTGACAACCAACTGTCATGGCTGACAACCCACTGTCATGGCTGACAACCCACTGTCATCTGTTGTGGCAGAGAGAGAGAGAGAGAGAGAGAGAGAGAGAGAGAGAGAGAGAGAGAGAGAGAGAGAGAGAAAGAGAGAGAGAGAGAGAGAGAGAGAGAGAGAGAGAATCAGAGCAAGAGAACAGCAAGGATGTGGCTGACAACTGGCTGCCAGGTGATGTAGGCCACATGTCAGGTCTCCAGAGAAAGCCACTGCCAGCAACAAGTGTCCTACCTGGTCTAGTGCTGTGTGATCCTGGGCATCAGTCTCCTCAACTGGCCTAGTCCAGCCTAAAGCAGGCAAGATGACCCATCCATTGATGCCTGCAAGTAATAAGGTGTTTTTTTCACATTATAATTCATGCAATGCATCAGACATGTTAGAATGGGAGCCCAATGCTAGCATGTCTACTTACCTGTCTAGCTGCCTGGTGTTCAAATCCATCAAGTTCAGTAATTTTTTTTTTTTCCACTGAGCTTAGTCTCTACTGAGCCCTATATCTCTATTATCTCATATACCAGCTGGTAAAACATAAAGTGGTCATGGTTGGTATCTCAAACAACCACTAGTCTGTGATCAAGTCTATGATCTTGTCTCAACTATGCCCTGTGGCCAATCCGTCCAGGTACACTGGAATACTTGTTCAGAGTTTCTATTTTCATTGTCCGTCGTGTCTTTTTGTCGTCTCTGTATGTCGTATCTGCTTGTCGTGTCTGTCTGTGCGTGTGTTTTTTGTGTGTAAAGTTGTTTAAAATTAAAGCACTTGACAGTTGATACTAGCCACATTTATTTTCCAGAATAAATTCCAGCCTCATATTTGTTAGACTAACTGGCACTTCAGGGAAGATAGCAGCCATGTCTATTCTCCAAAACACCTGCTGGTACCCACACTGAGGCTGGGTCAACCTGAAATTCCTGGTAATATGACACAACACTCTCCACCCCTCAACATCCCTGACATGGATTTGAACATAAGATCACTTGGGAAACATTGTTTGATTATGAACTCCAGTGCTGGTATTGTTTTAGTGCTACAACAAGAACCATCCCGCAACACTCATTAGTGATACTTCATGTCTATGACAACACAAAAGTGGTGCTACACAAGTTCAGTGAGTTGGAGGAGAGGAGGGAGAACCAGCACACACAATGAAGAACCAAGCAGCTGCCCAAGTACACACATCACCCTGCATTACCGCCTCATTCCCTGGCACAAGTACAATGTGGAAACGACTGCCAGCAAACAGTAAACAAACACGTCACTCTGGTAGGTTCAGTAACGGTGACTGAGACTCACACCTGTACGTCTGGTCGACAGTGACACCAGAGGCACAGCTGCAGTGCCCAACAACACATCTCCCGTCTGAGGGGCCAGCTGGTGGCCAGCAGCTTGACCTTTCTCCACGTACAAATCTACAAGAATGGTATTCACACATGTTATCACATCCTCAGCATAATAAAACGGCAGGTACTGTCATGTGTGAGGTGGCCAAGTTTATACAATGTAGGTCACAGCAATGTGAAGTGTATTTCCATATCCAGACAAATCCCTGTAATCCAATAAGTGTATCTGATTGTTATTGGGGTCACAAGGGAAGCAGAGAACAGGAATATGGTTCCAGACCATGTTTAACATCAGATGTATCAGTGAGGTTTGGCGTGATAATGGCTTCCTCATCCCATAAAACATCTGACCTCCACAATTCAGCCAATCATGAACAAGTCTATACAGAGCTTCCACATAAGTTGGCTAAGTGTCTGTGCTTTATGGAGCTGTAGAGTCCAACAAGGAGAGGAAGCCATTTCATGGGTGTCAGTATTCCAGTCTGTCATGTACAATATGAAGGCAACAATAAGTAAATCACAAATGGTTGTATCAAGAAACTAAAATGATAACAACTTGAAAATGGTTTAATTTTACTAGGTTTAATTTTACTGACACTGTCCATTTATTTTTCAAAATAGTTTCCACCAACACTGGTGTACCTGTCCCATCGTTTTATCAGTCACTGCATCAGGAAGCAACAATAGAATTTTACAGTATGAATCAGCATTCACATTGTCACCTTTTTTTTTAATTGGTCATAAAGGACTCCTTGACAACCCCAGAACACTGTCATCGTAACCTTCCCTGCTCAACAGAACGACCTGATCAGACCTCACCAACAATTTTACAGCGTCTTAGAAAAATCTTGTTACCCAGCTATGCCCTGCTTTACAGGAAACATTTGTCAGCATAAACAGGAAGCATTACCTCATGAATGTCTTTTTCAGGCAGCCCTTTTGCCCCCCCCCCCCCTCTTTCCCCAACCACAACAGCATTGTTCTTTGAGTATACACTTTGTAAGTACAGTCGCCATATTGTTTCTGTATTACGATGCACATGCAACCTAGCCCCACCTAACAAAGGGACAATAAAGTTGAATGTTGCGGTCACCTAATGACACCTTTAGAAACCACCAACTACATGTTCCTGCCACCCTAGAACTATTTGTGACCTAGTGACTGACTTGCCCCTGTAGATCAGAGTTTAGAGCATTTGCCCCTGCTTTAACCAGCTTTGCTTTCTCTCATGTTGTTGACCATTTGGATTTTTTTTTTTTTTAAATAACAGCAGCTGATCCTTAGGTAGCTGCTTGGACATCTAGCCTTCTCAGACAAGGGCACAAGTTTAGGTAGGCCCATGTGCACATTAAAGATCTTGGCTCTCCTTTAAATAACAGTCGCTAGCTGGAAAGCCGACGGTCGCTTAGTCGGAGTTCACTCCCTTGGCTGTATTGCAAATACGGAGTGTAAAGAGGGAACGAAACAAATGACATACTTACCTGTCATCATACGGTTGCGTGGGGTGTAGGGTTAGGGTTAGGGTTTGGGTTAGAGTTAGGGGTAGGGTGTGGGTTAGGGTTAGGGGTAGGGTGTGGGTTAGGGTTAGGGGTAGAGTTTGGGTTAGATGTGACAATTTTGACGCAGGAGTTCCAAATGATGACCGACAATCTGATGCTTGTGGCAGTGGCGCCACTGGAATTCTCCTAAATATGACGGCAATAGCGCGCGGCTGGTGCCCAATTGATGGCGAATTGTCCTTTGAGTAGCATCCACAGTCCTTCAATTGTCTGGGTGTGTATGTCACTGTGCGCGATTATTTGGAACTCCTGCATCAAAATTGTCTAACATCTAACCCAAACCCTAACCCTACCCCTAACCATGCAAACTTATCGGTCATTAAGGCATACAGATCTGCAGGAGTCACATCTGTGGCAACTAAGTCGTGCGTCGCAAGAATGTGGTTGCTAATGTGAGTCGGAGCTCGATGTCTAACTGCCATGTTGACCTTGTTTTTGATTCATTGACTTTTCCCACTCCGTATTTGCAATGCAGCCAAGAGAGTGAACTCCGACTAACCCACCGTCGCCGTCCAGCTAGCGACCGTTATTTAAAGGAGAGCCAAGATCTTTCAGACACAGAATCAAAAACGGTGCAACGGATTTCATGCACTGTGCTAGATCATCAAACCTTTCGTGTTTATAGTACCAACACATCCAACAATCACTTGGTGGAGGATCCAATCTGCAATCGACAACAACAAGAATAAGACACACTGACAGCTTTCAAACACACAAACAAAACCTTACCTTTATTTTGAAAACCAGTAGGGATCTGATGCCAGACCTCAAAGAGCACCTCAGCAGACTCCAGCAGCTCTGCCAGACTAGTGGCACCCAAAGTTGAGGCCTGGGACATCAGCAGTAGGCATGGGAAATCCATCCAATGAGCAAACTCTGGAGCAAAGGATTTGGCCACAGTCTTTGTCACCCTCTCATTCTGGTACAATGATACAAGGTTGATAATGCTGACAACACAAATATGATGGTGATAGCAGAGATAATGGTAGTACTAAAGATCACAGTGACACTAAAGATGATAGTGATAGCAAAGATGATGATGGAAATACCAAAGATGATGGGGTAAAGATGATGATGATATAAAAAAAAAAGATGATACCATAGATGATGGCGGTGACACCAAAGACAACGGTGATAGTGCACTGAATGACAGGTTCCAGTCTACTGCCCTGTCCTAAATAGAGTGGAGAAAACATGAGAAAGTTAGGAGCACTAATGGAGTATATTCTTTACCACCTAGTCCCTGCTGGATTGATGACACTTCTTGTCCTATGCTAAACTCATTGTTGAGTGTAGGATTATGAAGAGCCCTAGTGGGTTAACCCTGCACCTAAATGCTATTCCCCCAAGGGGACAATGATGAAGATGTTTCTTTTCCCTCTCCCAGCTCAGAAATCAGCAGGGTGTGCCAGACCAACTAAATTTCAGACCTGCAGAGAGATAGTTCAGGATGTAGCCAGATGATGATTCAACACAGCAAAAACAGAGGCACTTAGCTCCTTTCCTAAGAATGAAATTCTGATGCAAACATAGGCATTGAAACCCACACTGGCTGGATAGGCCATGGAGGAGTCCAGCAAGGCAATACTGTCTGCCGCAGCCTAGGGAACAAAAGTGTTTAGTCATAGACATGTGTCACAACAAGCAGTATGGGCTAACACTGAGAATATCAAATCTGTCTGAACAAAAACCTTGAAAGTATGTCTTACCATATTTGTCGGTGTACAGGATATCCCTTGTATAGGATGCGCCCTAAAAACTTGAAGAAATTTTACAGAAAAAACTTACATTTAATTCTCGCAACCATTTCATTATTTCAGTCTCTAATTCCAGCAAATTTGCACTTTTCCTCCGTGTGCACGTTTTCCTTTGTCCATTTTGCATAAAACATCCTGCTGAGACTACCAAAGCCTTATAATGTTTGTTTACGTCTGTGGAGCTCTGACATGAAGTTCTGCTGCTTTATTGCTGTTCTTGTAGCATATTTGATCACCTGCAGTTTAAAAGTCCCACTGTAGGTTCTATATCCTGGGCAACTATGAAAAATAAAGTTACATGTAGGCCTACCTTCGTTGTATAACACACAGCCTAATTTTAAAAACATAAAAGTGTGTCTTTTACACTGACAAATACTGTAGACATAATTAAGTTAGTTAGTTAGTTGGTTAGGTAGTCGTTACGTTTCCAGCATCACAGCAAACGAGCTTGGCCCATAACTGCTCAACCGCCTATACCAGTGATTCCAGTCACAAACTGAGTCAGATACGCTGGATACTTCAAGTGAATGCCGTAGCCATACAAAGTTTCTTCAGTCAGCAAAACACACACAATTTGATCTGGCAAACCATAAGGTGCATGCCTCCTTAAACACATGGCGAGACCAGGCGTCATCGCTGAAAATAAACTTCATTCGAAGAATAACTGGGCGATGAGTAGATTAAAACTATTCCTAACCATTCTCCACATGTCCTCAGCCAAGTTGCAGCCACGGCCAGCAAATAAATAGCAGCTACAGCACACGCCTTGTCCCAGGAACACAGCGAAGAAAAATACATCACCTATCATTGCCATTATGTACGAATCTGGAACTCAGTCAATAACCAATAATCATAGCTCATAGTGCCGCCAGGAGCACTAAACTCAGTAGCTCTGGCTGCAAACCAGACTTTCACAATCTTGCAACATCAAAACTGGAGGAGAAATGGCAAGGAGAACGGTCAACATAAGCCAAGTTCTCAACCGTCATCCATTCCCTATTAATGTCAGAACCAGAAGTTTGTGTGTAAGTATGTGTGTGTTGTCCTATATATGTATTTGTGTCTTATAATTTTATGTGTGTGGTAATCTCCTTCCGCACAAAATTCAGACCAGTCTAGGCATAAACTAAAAATAAGACCTCTTTACACTATTCCTTTCTCTCTCGCTCCACCCGTTGAAATCATCATGCAAGAACTCTTGATACAATCCAATATATATTTGTATCTCCACACCTCAGTATTATGTGGTCTTTGAGAAGGTGACTGAGAATGTGGAGAACAGCAAACATCTGGAGAACTTCAGCTATCAACAGAGAAAACAGCTCCCTTACCTTGAGCCCAGCTGCTCTGATGATTCCCACAGACAAGCAGACTTGAGATCCACTATGACTTCTGCTGACTGCTGTCACAGCTGACCCTGACTGCAAGTAAGAATTTGTATTAGTACTGTCGTGAGCACAAGTGGTATATTTCTGCTAAAAACTGGCCCTTAATGGCAGAAAACCTGGCCACTATGTTACTGCAGATACCTAAACATGCAGTTGATATCTGCAACAATGGATAATGGAAGCAGGTGATACCTGCAGCAATGGATGATGTAAGCAGGTGATATCTGCAACAATGGATGATAGAAGCAGGTGATATCTGCAACAATGGATAATGGAAGCAGGTGATACCTGCAGCAATGGATGATGGAAGCAGGTGATATCTGAAGCAATGGATAATGGAAGCAGGTGATATCTGCAGCAATAGA